CCCTGAGGCACGGTAACAGCCGCACTGATCAGGCCGGGCCCGTGAAACCTCTTCCCCTTCGCTGAGATGGCTGCCCCACCCGCAAAAACCAAGGAGCGAGTTCAGACCAAATTACAATTTTTCGTGAGTGACAGCGATAAAGATCTTAAGGCAGAGTTTTTATTAATTTGGAGTTGTTTAAAACCGCTTCACGGCCATCACGTCAGGTCAGGCACCGGGAGGCAAGAGAGGCCGCTGCTGTCACGAGGGGGCCAATGTCTCCAGCCCTACAGGAGAAAATTCTCCTCCGTTAGTTTTTTCTTCAGCTTGCCGCCTGGCAGGCCCATGAGGCGGACGGACAGCTTTGCCTTGGAGAAGCTGTCGACCCAGAGGCTGGCTCTGCTTCCACTCTGGCGTCAGACCCGGAGCCAGACTCCTCATCTGAGAGCGGGAATATGTCACCCAGCTCCTGGTATCTCTTCATCCTGAAATGCAGAGTGGCAACTAGTTTATTCCCAATTTATTGTTTTGCGTACTGTCTCTTAAGGGAACACGCTGAAGCCTCATGTTCCCACGAGTGAGCCACCCAGAGGCTGGCTCTGCTTCCACTCTGGCGTCAGACCCGGAGCCAGACTCCTCATCTGAGAGCGGGAATATGTCACCCAGCTCCTGGTATCTCTTCATCCTGAAATGCAGAGTGGCAACTAGTTTATTCCCAATTTATTGTTTTGCGTACTGTCTCTTAAGGGAACACGCTGAAGCCTCATGTTCCCACGAGTGAGCCACGTTATGACAGGACCATCAAGAAGGGAATACCACACATTTTTGGGTGCCAGCATTAATGACAAATGTGCAGCACATGATGAACTTACAGGAACGGGTCTGCCATGGGAGGAAGGATCCTGTTGGCTTCGCCAGCGGGCATGTCAAACCAGGGCCCCGTCTCTTCGATGCAGTTCGCAGACCAGGCATAGGGCTGGCACCTCACTCTCTTGTACCTTGCCTTCTGCACCGGAGCACCTAATTGAATCAGCTGTGCATTATTCACCGGGACCGGGATGTTATTCACCAGGACCTATTAACTTTATGAGCACCTAGTAAAGCTTAAAGGAGCGGAAGAAGGTAATTTGTGTGGCCCAGATTGCTCAACTGCCAAAAAGTGAATTAACCTTGCAGACTCTTTTTTTAAATGGCTACTGATATCTCTAAGTGACATCCCTGCTATCAGAGACATCAGACGTATCTCGCACACGGCACCAGGAAGTCCATGGGAATTAGAAATTGAAACCCTGTGGGAAACCACCGCCTCACACTGACATGACAGCAGGGCTCATCCCTGCCTTGGGGCACAGCATATCCCTAGGGCACCCACGGGCTTGGCCACCTTCAGCTCTCCCTGAAGCTGGTGGAGGTATCTGAAGGTCTCTGGAGAACAAGCCACTCCAGGGAAGAGCTGGCTCCTTTGCCTTCCCTTTCTTTGTTGGCTCCAGCGAGGGTCAGGGCTGCCCCTGCTTCAGCTTTGCATGTCTCAGCTCAGCCCCTTCAAGTTCGATGGGATGAGCTTTGGTGGGGAGGCCGGAAACTCAAGGTGTGCCAAGAGCCGCCTGCTGCAGGAGCAGATTTGGAGATTACGTAGGCTCTCAGAGTGCATCATTGGAGTAGAGACAGTTCGGGCGTCTCCTAGACACAGTGCGGGGTTATGGAAACCCACAGTTTCAGTTCTGCCGCCCCCCAGGTGCCTGATAGGGGCTGTCACTGAAAAGCGAGTCTTCAAAAAATACCAAAAGGAGAAAATAACAATCGCCAAGTAACGATAAAAAAAGCGGAATTTTGTCCTTCGTTTCACGTAAGTTAATTTGTTATGAAGCCTCCTGGCGCATTCTCCCCCTGTTGGCACTTTATCTATTTTTTCTCGGTTTCTTGGGACTATCTTTCTGTAATTACACTTCTCTATTGCCCTATATATTTCCATAATGTGCTAAATGACTTTCAGCTACCTCCTACACTTCTCTGTAAGAGAAAAAAGATCTCATGGGTGTAATTTCCTGCTTCTTTTACAGTGTAATCCTTTTTCATACTTACTTTCTTCTCTTAGCGTATTATTAGGAAAGTTTTTAATAATAACAGTGGCAACAAAACAAGTGACTGCAGCTGAATAATTTGCAAATAAACAATGCACAAAAAGCAGGCCATAGTCTCTCAAAGATCAGCCTCCGAGTGGTAGATACATAACAAAAACCCATCACCATCACAGCCTTGGTTTGGGGACCAATTACACTGGGACACGAGAGGGGACAAAACCACTTCTCTCTTGCAAGAAACAAATCCACATAGTACATGTCACCATGAATCAACATTTCCTTTTAGTTGTTTTAGTGCTGCGTGTTGCAATTTCTCCGCACCGAATAAACCGTTTAATTTCCTCATACTTACAACTGGTTTCCTTTCCTGCCCCCCAGAAAGTAGACCGTAGTGGTTATGACATGGGAACTGTTACATACTTTGTAACTACATAACTGAATAACAGCACGTAACCAGACCACAATGAAAGGGCCAGTTCAAAAAATATATATTGAAATATATGTCTTGAAAATATACCCACATACAGCAACTTATTTCATGAAGTCTTTTTCTCATAGGGGCTGGGTAATGGACACAGAAAAAGTGTTCACTAGCAAAAGCACCTTTTCTTACCATTCCCCCTTCAGAAACCAAAATGTTAGCAAAACAGGTTTTCTGAGTAGAGCTCATTACCCCTAGAACAAGGTCAGTTTGAAAAATTCGGAGGCTGCCTACTTGGCCTACACTGCATAGCCCAGCAAGAGGATTACCGAAAGAACAACCGCCCCGTTTTACCTTGTGCTGTGTATCCCACAAAGAGGATTAAACAAACAGCCAGGAAAATCCTCCCGTTACATCTGATAAGGAGCTGCATTTTGGCCGGTATCCCCCCGCTCGCCACCAGCCTTCACCACGGCTTCACACTTCAGAAATACAACAGGGCGAGGAGATCGACTTTTAGAAAAGGTTTCCAAAACCTCAGACCCAGCCCATAACCTGCGTCACTGCTTCCTGATTGACGGGAGTGAGACATCTACAAAAAAGCCCAGTGCTCTGGCCTCCCAGCCTTCATCATTCCAAAACAAAAATAAGCCCTGCTGCCTTCGTCTCCGTTTACCCAAAAAGAGCAAACTTGGTTCCAACCAGCCCGACGGAAGGTGTGCGCTGACGGCAGCTTGTGGTCTAGGTGTGCATCCCGCCCAGCACCTCTGGATGCTCAGAGGGCTCCAGAGCATTTGCTGTTTCCTCTTAAAAGAAAAGTCAGTGCTTCGTGCCCCCCGACTTCCAGTTGACTGCGTTTTGGCACTGGCAGCAATTTTCCCTGCCTCAAGCCTGTGTCAGTCCACCGGGAGGGTTAGGAGCTGAATGCTTGCAGTTGGTGCAAGTTTCACTGCCTGGGAAACAATCTTTTTCCACAAAAGTAAATTATCTCTGGAATCTCATGACAGCTTTGAGATTTTTTTCTTTTTTTTTGGAAGCAGAATCTTACATACAGCAGAAGTGAAAAAAAAAAAAAAGTATTAATTTAGAGAATATAGTCTGGTAGAAATGTGCCGGCTCCTTTCCAAAAGGGCACAGCGGATTTGCTCGTCCAGGTCATCGCCGTGTGATGTGAGCGCCTCCGGGAGCGTGGTGAAGGGTTTGGGCAGCACGTGGCTCTGCAAGAAAGCTGTCTGGACAGCCATGAAAGCCCTTTTCAGGTAGTTACGTGGCAGGTGCCTTTCAGCTAGCTCATAGGTTTTGCTTGCTCTTTCATCGGGATTCAATCAGGCTTGACTTCACTTTAGAATAAATTATGTACAATAAGGTTATCTAAGTGGTGGGGCTTTTTCTTAGTCATACCATTAGCTGTCGGATTAACTGGGCTGCCGACACGTGGGCCTAACGTGCTGCCAGCACCTTCAGTGATGCTGCGGCTGGCAGTGCGAGTTGTCTGTGGTAAATCTATTTTTACACGGCGGAAAGTCCACGGAGGCCCCCGACAGGGATCTGAGCTGAGCGGCGACTTTCCCTGGGCCACGGCGTTCTACCAAAACCCCACATGTGGCAGAGGAGACCCCTCCAGCAGCTCCCCTCTCCGGGCTGGGATTTACCGCTGGACCGAGGGGTCGAGCTGCGCGTTTGGCATCGGTGCAATTTGTTATGAACCAACACACACGTGTTTTTTTCCGGCAGGGGAAAAACAGGAGACTCAAACCAAACAGGTGCGGAAGGACTTGCATGCAGTGGTTGTTCCTACCAGCCTCTTTTCTACTTTGTATTTTTAGCACCAACTCTTTTTTTTCTTCTTTTTTTCTTTAAGGCGGTGCTCAGCATCAATAGGAAGCCAGGCCAACATTTTTCAGCCTCCGACCACTGAAGGCTGCGGAAACTGTTCCTGCAGTAACACCTCTCATTCTCCACTGGTCACGGGCATGCGCCAACCTCTTCCACATCCCTCCAACGTAAGCAAACAACTCCCCCGCACAGGGCTAAGCACCCCTCTGATGGCTATTTCTACCCTTCACACTAGCCCAGAGCTTTTTCCAGCCCAGCACTGGAAGCCCCACAAAATGTGGCCAAAGTGGTGGCCACCAGCCGGCATGGTCGGGACGGGCTGGGGATCCTGCAGGAGCAGGGGGAGCTGCCAGGGGTAGGCGGGAGTTGCAAAATCTCTGTATATGGAAGGGCATCTCACAGAGCCAAGTTATCTGCCTCATCCATCAGCTGATGGGGTGCTTGTAGCGCTGGCAGTTTTGCCACACGTTTTTGCTATTCTGTGTCAGCGGCGCACCTCAGGAAGTGAGATTGCTTTACAATTGGTAACCACGGGAAGACCAAAGCAAATTTTCCACTCTCCTGTCTCATGTTATGCCTGCATAATGGGGGCCAGAAACCCACGGGGAGCTTCAGTCTGTGCCCATCTCCTGTCCTGCTGCGCTCCACCGGTGCCTGCGCAATGCTGCGCTCGGCAAACAAAGAGCTTTCCGCCTTCCTAAGAACGTGGAAGCGGTACTGGAGACCCGGATTTGAAGTAAGCTGGGATGTGCAACTCTGAAGAGTAAAGCATGCCCTTTGTGGAGTGTCATGGGATGCCTGAGGAACACTGTACAATTATTTACCTCTCTGTAAACCACTCAGGACATAAAATGCAAATAATCGGCACAAATAAAAAAAATCTCATCTGGAGCTAGAGCCGCAAATTGCTGAAAGTTAACACACATTTTCTTTTCTTAAATAGAGAACAGCACACGAGCTATACTATATTGGAACGCTAACCTTGAAACCTGCCATCGCATGACTATCAGAGTTTAGGAGAAATAGGGTTTTTTTAAGTCAAATATTTTAAATTCAGAGGAGAGGACAGTCACCATACCTAGGTCAGCTACCTCAAATCTACCTCCCGTAAACTATGAGGAAGATTCATAGGATAATACTTCTCTTGCATAGATCCTGTGTATATGGACTGGAAGATTAAATGCCACAACAGAGTAAGCCTATAAAAAGAAGAAAACAAATGAGGAGCAGGTATTTGAGAATGCAGCTCGCTCCTGGAGCGTTTCTTACAACTACGGCACTGAAGCGCTGCCGTTATTTTCAAATCACATGCAAAGCAGATTAAGAGCTTTGCATTTTTCTAAGGCATTAATGTGGGGAGCAGGGGGCAGGCAGAAGGAAGGGGCTGCCTCAGCACCGTGCGCCCGGCTCATCAACCAGACACCCGGGACTCTTCGTTATGTGCCTGAAAAATCTAGGAGTAGCCCCTAAGCTATAATAAACACTTCGAAATCTAAAGTGGTGAACTGCTCCTTAGTTGTAACTCTCGGAGCTGTTTTATCTCCTGATTAGCTTCAGGAGTAACAAGTAGTTTAGTAACATCACTAAAGCGAGACCACACCACAGGAGTGCCTGGTATGAGGACATCTGTCCTGCTGTTGAGGGCAGGGGATGTAGAGCAAAAAAAAAAACCCCAGCAGCCCCATTTCAGTAACCCGAAGGGGCATCATGGGCGTGTTTCAACCAATTTTTTGGTGGACACCAACCCTTCCTTGACTCTAACCCAGACAAACGCTGCCAGAGCAGGTCAGTCCGGAGGAGCAGTCCAACGTAGGCGCGCCAGGTGCTCTCTCTGTTGCTTTTGCTTGCCCAGCAGCACAGGTTTGCTTTGCAGCCTGTATTTCCGACAAGCAGCCAGCTGGGTGGATGGGCTCTCACGGGTGCACAGGCACCCATGGTGCTGGCACTTATCAGCGAGGCACACAGGCGAGGCGATATCCATCCAGACAGGAGGTCCCGATAAGGAAGTTTCTCGCTCAGAACTGCTCAGAAATCAGATAAACCCTAACTGCTGTGGGATAACTCTGCTGTCAGGGGTCAGGTTTTCCCCTGTCCCAGCCCGTGGGAACTCAGTCCTGCCTTCAGAGGGGGTCCAGGTTGACCCCTGCACCCTCAAACACTCCTTCCCAGCAGAGCAGCAAAGCTGGCAGCTGACTGAAGCAGCTGGGGATCCCAAAGTGCTGGGCCCTGCCTGCAATGCTCAGCTCTTTATTAGCTCCACTGGGGAAGTGGAAATACATATTTTGTACAGGTCACTGCTCTGGGGAACAGCCAGCACAGAAAAGGCTACATCTGTTATGAGCAGTGCTGGGAAAGGGCTTAGAGGGAAAACGGTGGCAACGGTTGAGGAAAAACAGAGGTCAGGCAGTGAGCAAAGTGGAAGGTGAGTGTGTCTGAACAGCAGCTGGGTTGAACACAGGGGGCGTTGTTTTGCCTGTCTTGTCCTTTGGGAAGGCAGAACAGGTTCTTCCTCAAGCACGGTGATCCATCTCAGAGATCACAGAATGGTTTGGGTTGGAAGGGACCTTAAAGATCATTTGGTTCCAACCCCCTGCCATGGGCAAGGACACCTTCCACTACACCAGGTTGCTCAAAGCCTCATCCAACCTGGCCTTGAACACTTCCAGGGATGGGGCAGCCACAACTTCTCTGGGAAACCTGTTCCTGTGCCCCAGCATCCTCACAATGAAGAATTTCCTCCTTAGATCTAATCTAAATCTCCTCTCTTTCAGTTTAAAGCCGTTGCCCCTTGTCCTATCACTACACACCCTTGTCAAAAGCCTCTCCAGCTTTCTTGTAGGCCCCTTCAGGCACTGGAAGGCTGCTAGAAGGTCTCCCTGTAGCCTTCTTTTCTCCAGGCTGAACAGCCCCAACTCTCTCAGTCTGTCTTTGTAGGAGAGGTGCTCCAGCCCTCAGATCATCTTCATGGCCCTCCTCTGGACCCGCTCCAGCAGCTCCATGTCCTTCTTGTGTTGGGGACTCCAGAGCTGAATGCAGTATTCTAGGTGGGGTCTCACGAGAGCAGAGCAGAAGGGCAGAATCACCTCCCTCAATCTGTTGCCCACGCTGCTTTGGATGCAGCCCAGGATACAGTTGGCTTTCTGGGCTGCCAGCGCGCGGTGCCGGCTCATGTTGAGCTTCTCATCCACCAACACCCCAAGTCCATCTCTTCAGGGCTGCTCTCAATCTGTTCTCCATGAACTGCCCTGTTAAATATGCCAAAATCACCCTAAACCCCCTCAGCAGCAAGCTGCTCCCAGGCAGTCAGCCCAGCTGGACTTAAGGATGTTTTCAGTCACCAGCTCATGTTTGACCAACCAGTCTTTGGGGAGTGAAGAGCAAAAACATGCCCTGCCTCAAAATAGCAAAGACCTAGCAATACAGGGAGAGAGGTTTGTGTTGACCTGGGAAGATTTCTAAATCCAGCCCTGAGCAAAGATGAATTCTTAACCTAGGTCACATCTGAGCTCAGCACCCGGCCCCTGTGTTCACCCGTGCACCTGGAGCACCGCGGCATGCGCAGCAGGGCAGTACGTGACACTCCGCTGCCCCTCGTGC